TATATATACATACATATATACATATACATATACACACACACACACACACACACACACAAACACACATTGCCCAGCAAAGTATTTCCCAAAATTTGTGCCCAAGCAGCTGGCTCTAACTCTCCCAGCTTCACTTCCCTGAACTTCCTGTTAAGTACAAGATTACAAGAGAGAGCACAGTCTTCAGCAGCCACCCATCTACGACCTTGGAGAAGGAAGAAAATGAAAAAGGGGAGAGGAGGAGGATGGGTTGTCTTGCTGTGCCTGAGTCTTTATGGAGACACACACACCTTACTAGCATACCCAAGTGCAGCTCCATTTAAACTCTGCAAGGGAAAGGAGCCCCCGTAAAAAAGGATACCAGGTTAGTGCTCGGGGGACCAGTTGATTCTGCAAGAAACAAAACTTTTAAACATCAAGAAGCAGCAGTTACTTGAGTTACTATTAACTCTCAAGCAATCAAAAGTTTTCCGGGACCTACCAATCCTCGTGGGTACAGGGTAATTGGGAGTTTACTGTATGATGAAGCCCATCTGAAAGGAAAGCTAGGTTGGCACTTCATCTTTTATTACAAAAAGTACACTCATCCATATCCGGCAGTCTAAATGTATGAACAAGATATTTCACAAGGTTACAAAGCATTTCAAGATGCAATTTCCGTGGCATGAAGAATCTGCAAAAATGTTGCATTTCATGTGCTTAGGCTAACAATAGAAAATATATGAAAAGAAAGCTATAAATCTTTAATGGAACATATTCTATACAATCAGAGACCAGATTTAAACTGCACCTTGATCGAACAAAGTTAATTAACAATAGCAAATAACAACCTTAACCTGGGAAGAATCAGGGCAATGATTTCATGCGCTTAGAATGTATATGGAAAGTGTCATCATTGTTATTCAAATTTAAAGAAAACTTTCTTGATGTGTAGTAGGCAAGGCAAGGTGTGTATAAAAATATCCTCATCTTGCCAAGTGCGCCGTTTGAAAATAACTGTGATTGCACTTGCCAATCTGTTTAGTGATGATTGGTTGACCTGGTGTCAACTTTAAGGCTGAACACCAGGAAAACAGCTAAATACACAGATGAAATACAAACATAAGAAGTATTCTACTCGATAAAGGATTTGTATTTTTGTTACATGTATTCCTGAGATTTACATTACACAGCACAACAAGGCTCATGACTGGAATATAACATGGGTGCAAAAAATGAAAAAAGGGCCTCAGTCATGAAGGGGTTAAGGGGGAACTTTACCCATATCTTTAAAATAACTTCAAACAGGTCTTTAGAAATGTTTAGTAATGACAATCTACAAACACATACTTGCCGGCTTTGTATTCTTGCAGAGAATTGCCGGCTTTGTATGATTTACATACCTTATTTCTCTTTTCTTCCCCAGTCCTCCGACAGTGGCCATGTTAACTAAGGGAAGATTACTAGATCTCCCTTAAAAGGAGAACTATGGGGTCAGTGTTTTTCCCCATAGTTCTCCTTAGGGTAACGGGAGGACACAAACTAGCGTCCTTCCGTTACTCTAAGCTCAGAATACCGCGAGCTGTATACTGAGACGCCGCAGCCGGAGCGGATCCCGACTTAGACGACGGGATCCGCCCAGCTGCGTGAGTGACAGCTAGCTCTGCCTATCTAGAGGCAGAGCCAGCTGTACCCGCCCCCTCCCCTGTCCGTTCCGCCAGTCAGCGCTGGCAGATCGGAGCGGGGAGAGGGGAATCCAGCCCCTCCCCCTGTCACGGCAGAGAGCCGTGACAGGATCGAGAGGCGAGTGAACCCCGTATGTGCTCTCTCACCTCCCGATCTACTGAGCCGACCTGTGACAGTCTCATTGTCACAGGTCGGCTAGAACTATGAGGTGAGTGAAAAGCACTCATCTCATAGTTCTCCTTTAACTTCCTGGATTTCTGGCACATGTGACTAGGACATGTGGCCATGCACATCATTTTAGGGGAGGAAAATGCCTTTCCCTGAGATCTCATGAGATTACAGTAGAGATTTCCCAGCAATGCTCTGCCGATGTAGCCTTCTGAGGATATAACGCTTGGGCACATTACATCATTTGTACCAATATGGACCAGGAAGAGGATAAACTCTGTGCACAAAAGCAGAGGAAAAACGCACTTTGCCCAGCCGCGCTTGGGGTGCCATTAACTGGTAATGGCACAGCAAGCATGTTTTACGTTTTTGCTTGTTGTGTAAACGTGTGAATTGTGCATTTTTCCCCGCGTTTAATGTGCGAAGGCAAAACGCTCAGCTGTGAAAGGAGCTTAAAGACTTTATTTTATTTCTGTCTGTCCCCGTTGCAGATTTCCCTTTACTTCAACTCTGGTGAAACGGTTGTCAGCAGGACAGAAAGTGAAAGTAAATATCTCCAACGGAGCCCTAGACAGCAGTAAAAACCTGACAGGAGCTGTAATCCATCCCCACTATAAGTAAAACTACAAAGACAGATTTGGACTTGACATGCACTTTAATTTATAGCTGCATTTTTCTGTGTCTTTTATATCTGCCTGGAGTTTAGTATTGATGCTTTATATACTTTTTTTTTATTGACTTTTCATTGCTCCACAGATTATGTATGTGAGGGGAGCTAGGCAAGTCAGGCACAGGGACAATGTTTTACCAAGTGAATTTGGGAAAATTAAGTTACCTGTTCCGTCTGGCCCGTTCTTCCCCTCTCGGATATACTTAACTTTTGGCGAGTGCTCCTTCCCCTCCGCCGCTATGGGTGTACTATCCGTACCCCATACTGTCATGTATCGCAGCCCTGCGCTATGGATTTTGAATTTTGGTCGCATATGGCGAGCGCTTATTGGTCAGTGCTATCACCTGACCAGAATTGAGCGGGTAAGTGCATTTTCCCAAATTCACTGGGGAAAGTCAACTTACTCTCAAATCCCTTCATGCATACAGGTGGAATATATAGGAGTCAATTAGAACATACATCAAAACAAATTATAGTTGTTTACATTTTCATAATATCAATTTCAAAATAAGAGTAAACTAAAAGTTATAATTCGACAGCTGTCCCAATCATTGCATTAAATCCATCATTGCACATATTGTATACATGTAAACATATGCTGGAAGATAATTTCATAATGTAAACAGAGAAAAAGATACTTACATTCCAGACACCACTGTTATCTTGAAAACATGCTGTGCATTGGCAGATGGATTGCCTATAGCCACATTAAGTGCTCGGTCAATGCTGAATGCCACCTGGCGGAGGAAACGATCGGGGTTTTGCTGGCCATACCCATCATATGGTACATACAGGTAAGGAAAGATACCATGAAGATGAAGGCATGTCTTCTGACCTATAAGAAATGCAAATCAATTCAATGTTACTAAAGTTGTAAACGAGCATGAAATATCCTTTACAATACGCAAAATAATAACAAAATGTCTTATTAGTCAAGGGGACATGGTGAGGAAAAAAGGACCTGCATTAAGTATAAGACCCACAATGTCCTCAAAAGCATATTGACAAGAGTTGGATAACCATGAATGCCAAAACATGTTCTCCATGTATTCATTTGCATTTTTTTATAAAGGAAATCATATTTAAATGTATTCATAACATGAAGAAAATCCCGAAGACGAGGAGCCCACTATTCTGAATTTAAAAGCTGAAGAGTCTAAATGTAACTGGCAATATCTAATAAATTTGGACCTTTATGTCATTCTAAAGTCAATTTTATCTGTAACAGCTACTACTTGTATCAATGGCTGTAACTTAACTATAATGAAAACGTTTTTGATATCGGACTATATAGTAAAAACACAAGACCAATTATATTGAGGTACTGCTATAAACATGGAATCCCTCCTCCCCAGCACCTCACAGTCACTTTTCCTTCGCTCCCCACAGCTTCCGGGTGTATGATGGGAGAGGGGAATCCAGCCCCTCCCCCTGTCACGGCAGAGAGCCGTGACAGGATCGAGAGGCGAGTGAACCCCGTATGTGCTCTCTCACCTCCCGATCTACTGAGCCGACCTGTGACAGTCTCATTGTCACAGGTCGGCTAGAACTATGAGGTGAGTGAAAAGCACTCATCTCATAGTTCTCCTTTAACTTCCTGGATTTCTGGCACATGTGACTAGGACATGTGGCCATGCACATCATTTTAGGGGAGGAAAATGCCTTTCCCTGAGATCTCATGAGATTACAGTAGAGATTTCCCAGCAATGCTCTGCCGATGTAGCCTTCTGAGGATATAACGCTTGGGCACATTACATCATTTGTACCAATATGGACCAGGAAGAGGATAAACTCTGTGCACAAAAGCAGAGGAAAAACGCACTTTGCCCAGCCGCGCTTGGGGTGCCATTAACTGGTAATGGCACAGCAAGCATGTTTTACGTTTTTGCTTGTTGTGTAAACGTGTGAATTGTGCATTTTTCCCCGCGTTTAATGTGCGAAGGCAAAACGCTCAGCTGTGAAAGGAGCTTAAAGACTTTATTTTATTTCTGTCTGTCCCCGTTGCAGATTTCCCTTTACTTCAACTCTGGTGAAACGGTTGTCAGCAGGACAGAAAGTGAAAGTAAATATCTCCAACGGAGCCCTAGACAGCAGTAAAAACCTGACAGGAGCTGTAATCCATCCCCACTATAAGTAAAACTACAAAGACAGATTTGGACTTGACATGCACTTTAATTTATAGCTGCATTTTTCTGTGTCTTTTATATCTGCCTGGAGTTTAGTATTGATGCTTTATATACTTTTTTTTTATTGACTTTTCATTGCTCCACAGATTATGTATGTGAGGGGAGCTAGGCAAGTCAGGCACAGGGACAATGTTTTACCAAGTGAATTTGGGAAAATTAAGTTACCTGTTCCGTCTGGCCCGTTCTTCCCCTCTCGGATATACTTAACTTTTGGCGAGTGCTCCTTCCCCTCCGCCGCTATGGGTGTACTATCCGTACCCCATACTGTCATGTATCGCAGCCCTGCGCTATGGATTTTGAATTTTGGTCGCATATGGCGAGCGCTTATTGGTCAGTGCTATCACCTGACCAGAATTGAGCGGGTAAGTGCATTTTCCCAAATTCACTGGGGAAAGTCAAATTACTCTCAAATCCCTTCATGCATACAGGTGGAATATATAGGAGTCAATTAGAACATACATCAAAACAAATTATAGTTGTTTACATTTTCATAATATCAATTTCAAAATAAGAGTAAACTAAAAGTTATAATTCGACAGCTGTCCCAATCATTGCATTAAATCCATCATTGCACATATTGTATACATGTAAACATATGCTGGAAGATAATTTCATAATGTAAACAGAGAAAAAGATACTTACATTCCAGACACCACTGTTATCTTGAAAACATGCTGTGCATTGGCAGATGGATTGCCTATAGCCACATTAAGTGCTCGGTCAATGCTGAATGCCACCTGGCGGAGGAAACGATCGGGGTTTTGCTGGCCATACCCATCATATGGTACATACAGGTAAGGAAAGATACCATGAAGATGAAGGCATGTCTTCTGACCTATAAGAAATGCAAATCAATTCAATGTTACTAAAGTTGTAAACGAGCATGAAATATCCTTTACAATACGCAAAATAATAACAAAATGTCTTATTAGTCAAGGGGACATGGTGAGGAAAAAAGGACCTGCATTAAGTATAAGACCCACAATGTCCTCAAAAGCATATTGACAAGAGTTGGATAACCATGAATGCCAAAACATGTTCTCCATGTATTCATTTGCATTTTTTTATAAAGGAAATCATATTTAAATGTATTCATAACATGAAGAAAATCCCGAAGACGAGGAGCCCACTATTGAATTTAAAAGCTGAAGAGTCTAAATGTAACTGGCAATATCTAATAAATTTGGACCTTTATGTCATTCTAAAGTCAATTTTATCTGTAACAGCTACTACTTGTATCAATGGCTGTAACTTAACTATAATGAAAACGTTTTTGATATCGGACTATATAGTAAAAACACAAGACCAATTATATTGAGGTACTGCTATAAACATGGAATCCCTCCTCCCCAGCACCTCACAGTCACTTTTCCTTCGCTCCCCACAGCTTCCGGGTGTATGAGAATCTGCCCTGTGTAAAGAGAAGTTTAGTTTAAAGTGACACTGAACTCAGGAGTTAAATCTTAAAAATGCATTTAAAGGAGAACTATGAGGTGAGTGCTTTTCACTCACCTCATAGTTCTAGCCGACCTGTGACAATGAGACTGTCACAGGTCGGCTCAGTAGATCGGGAGGTAAGCGAACACATACCGGGTTCCCTCACCTCTCGATCCTGTCACGGCTCTCTGCCGTGACAGGGGGAGGGGCTGGATTCCCCTCTCCGATCTGCCAGCGCCGACTGGCGGAACGGACGGGGGAGGGGGCGGGTACAGCTGGCTCTGCCTCTAGATAGGCAGATCCAGCTGTCACTCACACAGCTGGGCGGATCCCGTCATCTACGTCGGGATCCGCTCCGGAGTCTCAGTATACCGCGAGCTGTAGCTCGCGGTATACTGAGCATAGGGTAACGGGAGGACGCTAGTTTGTGTCCTCCCGTTACCCTAAGGAGAACTATAGGGAAAAACACTGACCCCATAGTTCTCCTTTAAGTACCCTAAAAAGGAGAATTATGGTGAGAGTGAACTAAACACATCCCCATAATAAGAGCCAACGTGCGACACTGAAGCGGTCATAGGAAGGCTCTGTAGATTGAGAACTGAGCCATCTCATACTGATGACCTCTCACTTCTCAATCTTCTCCCTGCATAGAGCAGTGACTGTTAGTCTCCGTACCCATAGGGATTCCGCCCCTCTCCATTCCTCCAGCGCTGACTGGATTGACAGACAGGGGTGGGGGCACGACAGCTGGCTCTGCCTTTGGAGAGGCAGAGCCAGGTGTCAATCAGCAGTGGGGTGGATCACGAGAATATTACCAGGAACATTCCTGGCTGCAGCATGGCTCTGTGCTGTCCACATACAGTATATGGGGAAATAGCCCACTATATGCTGAGTTTTGGATCACAGGAAGATATAGCAAATGTTGGGCCAAAGTTTTATTTTAACAAAAATGTTGCTTCTTTGTGTCTCACTCGGCTGTAGATGCTGAAATCATCTCTGAATTGGTACCGACACTGTTCTTTCTTCTGGAGGGCGGCTACTTTTGTTCCCCATGGTCCCTGTGTGTGTTGTAAAGTAGCCACAGCTCCAAGCTCTCTCCCGGGATAGACTACAATCTCAATACAAAGTAATAGGCTAAATGTGAGATTGCAGCCCATCACAGAAGCGACCTTATCATTTGCTGCCCCAGCAGCCTTCGCTCTCCTCATCCTTCTGACACTCCGGGTGGTGGATGCCCTCTTGGCCTCCTCTCTCACAATGCAGGACTGCTTGTCCTGCTATACATGCAATGACATCATAGATGGACGGATGGTGTGCGGAAGAGCAGCTTAAGACAACCTATCACATAGAGAAGAGAAAGCCTGCAGGAGCTAATGATAAGATACCGGTAAGTAAATATTCCCCCAGACAAAAGCGAGCAAGTGCTGGGAGTGGGGGTGAGTTTTTACATTTCTTTGTAATTCAGCTTTAAAGGGTTGACTCACTGTGCTTTTTCTAGCACTGAAAAATAAGGAAACATTTGTGCTGCAACATTCAGAATATTTATTTTAGGTGATAGGTTCTCAAAGTCCCATAAGTCAAATAGCACAATAAGAAGAGACATAAGAATGTTGAGACTGCTTTTTTGGGGGATTAGCTGCAATGCACACAACTAAATGTGGTAAGATTGTGCTCAGATCCTGTAATGGCTGGCACTGGTCAGACAAATTAGAATTTTGATTAAAAAAATACAGTGAGCTGTGGATTATCCTTATCAATTTAGGTATACAGTCAGCAATGCACAATACTGGTGATACAGGCAGACCATGTTTTCTAGAAAGTAGAATAGTTTAGAATTAAAGAAACAAAGTGATGAAGGAATAAAAAGACACGGACATGGAGCCCAAATTTCTTCATAAAATGTGACTCTGCCTCAAATGACAGATGGAGGATGATTACTGAGGTAGAAAGGAACCTCTCCATGTGGCTCCATAACCAAGATGAAAACAACTATTCTCCATGTTGGTAATGTCCCCCATCTCCATTCTAGATGACCAACTTCAGTAGAAGGGTCTTTACCTCTGGCTATAGATTGAGGTTTAAAGAAACACTTAAAGAAAAAAAATCCCACAAACTGAAAACCTAAGGGCCCCAAAGTGGCCTTGTTCCCACTGGGCATGTGCTTGCTTTCATTAGTAAAACTCCAGAGACCTTCTAATATATTATTTACGGCACTTCTTGGCACAGAGCCTGGACACTTCCCACCATAGTCTTATCTGCCTCAGCAAAGCAATTGTAGTGGCATCTATGCACTTGATGAATGGAAAGCATAAATTATACAACACTACAAATCCTGTGGGTGGACTGTACTTTGAGTAAAACACTGCTGCTGAGAACTCCTGTGATTCACTGATCACTGGACAAGCTGCAGCAAAGCGAAAGACAGACTGCGGGAAACCTAAAAGGAAGCCATTGAGAAAGTAGCCATACTGTACCATAATGTTACTAGGAGAACAAGTAAACTGTACTACAAGTACAAAAGCAGTATAGTCTGAATTACCAAAAACCCACCAACCAGAAGCACTCCTATCTTCTAACAAGCCCTGTGATAGGCCGCAATGAGAAACAGATGATTTTGAAAACTTTAGGGAAGGATTATAACTCCTTTCGGGTTTCGCTGCAATCCACTGCTTCCTTTACAGAGATTTCCCATCACGGTGAAAACAGTTTCACTGACAAAAGTGAAAATCTGACGAAGGTTCTAGTCCTCCCCTACTAAACACACTTATTGTGGTCTGCGTCTCTGTTGCAGGTTTTCCCTCCATTCCTGTCTGGTGAAACCGTTGTCACCGAGACAATATTGAGGGAAAACCTCTCTTAGGCCCCATTCACACCTCAGCGTACTGGGATGTGCGTTTGGCACGCGTTCACGGAACAAGAAGGTGTGAACGAGGACTAAAGTTTTAGCTTGACATACAATTTAAGTATATAAATATACAAACTTCTGGTATAAATTGGCATGTAGGATTAAAGTGCAACTGAAGCCAACACTATTTTTTTTTAGGTTTAAGTGGAGAAGGATTAGAAAACCTGTCAGGTTTTTAATGCTGTGTCTCTCTTAGGGAGATTCACTCTCTATATTTGTTCCGGTGACTCATCACTGAAAGTAAAAGAAAATCCCAAATTTTGGGTTGCTATCAGAACAGGAATCGATGTAAAATCTTCCATTGGGGATACTTGTTCTGCAGACAACCAGCGATTTCCCTCTTTAGAGGAATATCCTTTCACTTCCAGTTGTGGCAGCAATGGGTCACAGGGGGCAAAACAAAAGCGGACAGGGGTTATAACCCTCCCTTGCTCCATCCAAAACTAAAAAAAAGTTTTGGCTTCAGTTCCACTTTTATAGTGCATCTTGTGATATTATTTGTGTTCAAAGCAAAAGTTTATGTTTGCACTGCTGTTCCAGACTTTGGTTTGTAAGCATTGGGAGATCACACACCTCCAAAAGGTGGTTTATGAGATGCTGCGTGTTGCAAAGAAGAAACATTAATTTATTAATCTACAGCAAAATCCATTAACGCTGAAAGCACTGCAGACTTAATAGGGCTTACTACCAGCATTTCAGGTATAAGTTATTCTGCGTTGCTGCATCAGCAGGTTTATCTATGGCTGTACATACTGCTTCTAAAATGTAAACTTACTACATGTATTTTTAAGAAGCTTCTTTAGCCCTGATTCTTACCCGAGTGTAACTTGAAGCTCAAAGCTCTAAAACCTCATGTTTTTACATTGTGCCCGTGCACATGTGAGCGCTCAGGTGCCTGTAGCTCAACGTCTGTAGTTCAAAAGATACATGAGCTGCTTTAGAAGCAGAATGAGCACTTTTGGTCCAACAGACTTCAATGGAAGGGCGATTTTTAAGGCAAGACCACTATCTCCTTCTCTTAGTGACTAGCTTTCCACTGGCTAAAAGTCTAAATATGCCTAATAACACAAAAATGCACAAATAAAAAACACTCCAAGTAAACCTCTAAGTGCGAATGCAGAAAAAGTAAAAATATGACACTGCTAAGACAAGGATCTAGGAAGAGAGAGAGAGAGACTTATTTAGAAAGAATTCCAAACCATTTACCCATTTTAGGGAAAGGTTATGTACTCATGAGACAATCATTTGTAAGTGGAAACTAAATTAAAACAAACATTAGAAGACCACACACAGCAGCAGTCTTACCAATTAACCAAGCCAATTATCGGACAATTGTAGAATAAAATACTATATTATAGCAAATCTATCACATGCATTAGAAAAGATTACAGCATTGCAAAATAGTCAGGTGCTACACAAATATATACGGTATATACGGTATATATATATATATATAT